TACAATATCAAAGCAATGGAAGAAGTAGTCAATGTGATAATGCAAGAAGAGTTGATCACTATCAGCACAGGCGAAGAGCTTAAGCAGAAGTTCAACCGAATCTATCAGAAGTTCAACCAAATCTATCAGAAGTTCAACCAAATCTATCAGAAGTTCTAGGTGCAGCGCAACAATGAAACACACTATACTGTATTGTGGAACATTACTGAAAAATACCTTATCGCTTTTTCATTATCATACCTAATCGAAAAATGCTTCAGGTTACAAACATTTTGACAAACCAAATAAACTGTTTGAACATCAACGAATGCGGAGATTTAATGTTGCAACTCACTAATATTAAACCAGATTTAGCTAGATTGGTAGAAAGGCTCATCCATCACACTGAATTTTTTATTTTTTTATCTATACTTTGCGATTTTAATGTTCTTTTTTTTTAATGTTTACTTAATTTCGCGTAATTTTTATTAACAATTTAATAATTGTTTAATTAATATTAAACTTGATATTTACTGAATTTTGTGTCTATTTAATTTGTTAAATTTTGTTGAGAAAATGGTATCAATTTTACTCATTAAACCAACCGCAAAGTTTTTAAATTGGTGAGTATTTTGTATTAATAGGAAAACAACTAGAGGATTTTTAAAGTAATTTGGCTATGAAGGTTTTGAAGAAGGGAACTCTTGCCTAAAATAATTTGGGAAACCCTGTTCTACACAAAGATGCCATCTAGTGAAGCAAAAAGGTCTTAAGGACGACGAACCAGCGTCTTCAGTGTTGGTTTTAATATTCTTAAAAATGTTTAAAGGTTTTGCTGAATCTCGAATATAATTTAAAATATCTTTGGCGAATGCTAAGAAATCAGCAAGTTATTTTTATGTTTTATTTTTTGTGAAGTGGCACTTCACCTACTACACCTGAATAGCCGCCACTAATTTAAATAATAATAACGAATAAATAACTCACAAATTCCTATGGGTGTTCTGCACCCATAATATATTCAGTATGGATGCTTGTACACTAGAGCTGTAAAAGTAACGAGAAAATCAATACCCGTATGTATCGTTACTTCGGATCTGACTACCCGTATAAAAATATTCGTTACTCGTTACTTTCGTTACTGTGATACGAATCTACAGAACACGCATCGTGTGGACCTCATACACGTCTATGCGGATGCGGAATTGGTGTCGGTAACTAATCGTACGTACGCATTGCTTCGGTTGTTAGGTTTTGGTACTGTCTAACAGAGGGTGCGGATGAAATTAGATATCGAATCGTTGGTTAAATAAATACATAGCGAATTTGGAATTTGTAATTAGTAACAAAGTCGTGTAGTTCACTGAGCATGAGCAATGAGAACTGATGTGAAGTTTTGCAAAATAAAATATCGTCAGACAGGTTGAACAGAAACATATATATTTTTCTAACACACTAGTAGAAACAATAATAATACTCTATAAAATCATAACTTTAATAAACAAAAACATATTATATTCTTGCAACACGCAACAGAAAAACAACTATTATACTATTCTTTAAAACTGAAATAAATAAATACATAAATATAAACAAAAGTACGTTTCGAGTCCCAGTCGACGTGCGGTTCGATAGTCGATTCGCATCAAGGCCACACTCGCATTTCGCATCGCCCATCGGGCCATCTCGTATCTTGCACACCGAACCGGTGGCGGTATGTATTCTCAAGTATTATTATTGTGCGTTATGCGACGATGCGGATGCGAGTAACGAAATTTAAAATGCAGTAACGAATTCGTATTTCGTATCTGACCGACTACCCGTTACTGAGTAACGAATACATACGGTTTGCCACAGCTCTATTGTACACTCATAGCACCCATGTAGTCGGCGCCTTTGATTCAGGCAGATAATATTCTCAAATTCTATCATAGTTTTCTGAACCTATTAATCTTGTATTAAGAACCCAAGATATATTCTCTTTGAAAGCCAATAATAGTTAATTAATTTTTTTCTTTAATAAGAAATATGTGAAGCATACTGAATACTTTATTAAATTAAATTGTAAAATTTATATTTTTAGAGGAAGCTGTGACTTCGTCAAACTAGCCAATGATAGTATTGAAGTGTTAATTAAACCAAACCGGCAAGTTTGTAACACTGGGTAATTTTAAATTATTTAAATCAGATAAAAAAGAAATTGCTGTGAAATATTTTATAGAAAATGAAAATTGATAAACGAAACAGAATCATCCTAATTTTTAAATTTTTATTAAATAATTTATACAATAATTGCTAACGTCTTACTTATAATAAATCCTATTATAAAATATTTCGCTACACTTACTACAGATAGTGCAAGTATTTGATTTTGATCTTTTATATGTATTAAAATATTGTTTTCAGAATTTCAACATCCACTTTCAGCTGCGATTTTGTAATACCACCAAGTGAAGAAGTTGATTTTAATTTAATGATCAAGGAAAGAAATTCTTTAGATCTAAAGTAAAAGAAATTTGTTCATTTCCTTAAAAAATCATAACTTTATTTCAAAATTAGATTATTAAGCCTTACCATAGACTTATCAAATTCAAGCAACAACAATTATACTTTTTAACTCTTTGTCCGATTACTAAACATTTATTTCACTTTTGAAAATTTTGGTTTTATCTACATCAAAAATCATATATAAATAATTAGATAACCCTTTCATCATATCTCAAAATTTTTTCCCCATACACTCCAATATCTATGAAATTTTGTTTTTCTTCAAATTCTATATATACAAATAAAAACTAATTTAAAGTCATTATTTATGCATAAAAATCCTTCTCAAATATATGAAATGTATATATTTCTTTTTTAACAGAAGTGCAACAATCTAATTTTGAAGCATTTTGTATGCAATTTACTTAAATTTTATTTCGTAATTACTATACCAATCTAATAGTAGATATTTCTTTTAGCGAAATTGACACAAATTCTATAAATATAAAAGACACTTTATCGAACACAAAAGATTTAATCTACCACACTAGTGCCAATCCTATAACAGAGGTGCTTAGCATAAATCACAAAACTGTAATTGAAGAGGTTGAAAATATAAGAAACAAAGTCAATATATTGAACTACACAATAAGCAACGTAGAGAAACTCATTACAAAAGTTGAACAGAAAGTGCCAAATCCAACATTGTGTATTACAACCCAACATGATAGTTTTCTTCTTGGCCTACAACAGAAAATATTGGATGGTAAGATCAGAGTCACTTTTTATATTTGGATTAAAAGGAGCCCTTCACGCTACGATTTTTGTTAGATTTATACTATGCAGTCCATACAACTCACATCTAGCCTTTACGGCCCGATTCTGCAAGATCTGTGGAGCTGACTTCCCGAAATTTAGTAGCGGCATGCTTTTGACCACCTACTGACAATGTTTGACCACTCACTAACTTTTTTTGACCACCCTCAGAAAACACAATATTAAAAAAAAATAAAGGACGAGTCCGTTGGCCTCCCGAAATTAATATTTTTTATAACTGACAGCACCATAAGAATGACCATTGTTTGACCATATTTGACTACCCATTAGATTTTTTCAACACTCCTTAAAATAATTTAAAGGGGTAAATTATAGAAAAACAAGAGTGCTGGGACGAATTTCAACTTTGAAAAAATGATAAATCGTCAAAAGGATACAATAAGACCCAAAAATTATTAAAATTATGTATCGCCGTTTGACCAGCCCCTAAAATATTTAAAAAAAAAACCCGAGAGATTAGGAAGTCAAAGAAATTATGTTTTGATATTTTACAACTCCCTAAAATAATTTTAATCTTCCTAAGTAGTGTGAAAATTCGAAAATTACAATTTGGAAATCGAATTTTTGACGGGGAAAAAGTGGTCAATAGACACGAGTGCACAATAAAGATCCATAACGGTTTAGAATTAGGTCTTGAAGTTTAACCACCTTCTAAAATAATTTTAATGTGCCCAAGTAGTGTGAAAATTCAAAAAATACAATTTGGAAATCGGAGTTTGAGTTGGAAAAAAGAGTCACCCGACATGAGTGCACCATAAAGATCCATAATGGTTGTGGGTTTGGTTATGTTGTAATGTTTGACTACCCTTAAAATACTTTTAATGTTCCTGAGTAATGTGAAAATTCGAAAAAACCAAATTCAAATTCGAATTTGGACTAGTAAAAAAAAATAGTCAATCGATATAAGTGCACCATAAAGATAATTGTTTAGAATTATGTTTTGATGTTTGACCACCCCCTAAAATAATTTTAATGATCCTAAGTAGTGTGAAGATTCGAAAAATCGAATTTTGATTTATAAAATTGGTCAATGGATATAAGTACAGAATAAAAAACAATAATAGTTTAAAATTATCTTAACGTTTGACCACTACTTAAAATAATTTCAATGCACTCAAGTAGTGTAAACATTTTAAAAATATAATTATTTGGAAATTAAATTTTGAGTACACAATAGCGCTCCATAACGGTTTAGATTTATGTTTTGACGTTTGACCACTAGGGTGGCCCGACGAATATAGAGGATTTAAAAATTTGTTAGTACTTATGTCTGCATGTTAAAAAAAGTTGAGAAATAAGAGAGGAAAAATATTTCATTAAATTTTTTTTGACATTTTAATTTTTAGAACTGCCACAATGACACTAAATTTTTGATTTTCATAATATGCATGTAAAGTTGAATAACTTAAAAAGGAACATAGTTTCTTAATTAGTTATTTTCATATTTTTGCAATGTGAACTGCCACAAAGACATTTTATAAAATTTTAATTTACATTTTTTTTTGTCAAATAGAAGTGTTGAAAAAAATATTCAAGTAAAATCAAGTTATTATTTATTATAAAACGAATTCATAACTTTTACAAAATGCAAAATAAAAATACCTATTTTAATATCTAATAGTAATACGTCATAATAATATTAAAGGTAACTTAAAAAAATAAATATATTATGAAAAAAAATTTTGTACAAACAACATTTAATTTAATTTATAATCTTGTTTGGATCCAAAAGAAGGCATGATTCTATGTGATTCCAATTTTGCCCTAATTACACCATCTCTGTTGTCACCACCACAAACTGCAGCTGAAGCTTCCGTTACTATTTTAACAGCCCATTCCACCGCTTGCGTGTGACATGGATACGATTTTATTTCAGAAAATAACATTGATGTAGCCGGATTTTTCACGATATCATTTAAAACTTCTTCTGGTAACCCCATTGTTAATGGCGGTTCTGTTATAACAAGTACTCCAATCAATCAAGTCCATATAACTGGAAGCGCTCATATTCAGCAAATTTAAAACTTTAAATTTTCGTCTTCATCGCTGTTTGTTAGAATTCCGAGTTTTAAAAATTCGAAGTACAGCAAGCTTTCGAATATGCTCTCTTGTGTCCCCTAGCATTCCAAGCAGGATATTTTCAGGATGTGCGAAATAACTATTTCGTAATATCACTGGATCAATCACTTCTTTTAATCTTTTCGGTAAATACCTTGATAAACTAATCATTTTCCAGACATTAAAGGCTCCCTGCAAGCATGACGGTTTTGCTTTGATAATGAACCATATTGGACCATATACTTTTAAAATAAAGGTTACCAAGGTAGACAAGTTTTCTGATGGTTCAGCCATCGGGAATGCACAATTTTACCAGGGCTTCGTGTGGATAAGTTTTCGTCTACAGTTCCTTTTGAAATAGAATCACATATATCATAAAGATATTTTTGATCTGTGCTGAGATCAGTCCTTACAGACTCATCTAGTGCCGGAATATTCAACTCAATTATGTTGAAATCAACTGAAATGAAAAATTTAAAAATAAATAAATACAATAGTTAAAATAAAAATAAATAAATTACCTATGGAAAGATTCTCACATCCCTTCAGTACCTGTCCAATAGGTCCACAGAAGTCTTTAGGTCCAGTTGTGCTGCCATCAAGAAAATTGATGAGATGTCACAAAGGCAGTTCATTTGCACGCAACTGGCAAATAAACCACTGCGACGGTCTATCCAAATATTTTTCCAAATTTGCAATAATTTCTGAATATTTTCCAACATTGACGTTTGTTCCGTCGCATCCTATCACTCTCAGATAATCTGTTGTAATTTGAGATTTATCGAAATACTCTAAAATATATTTCCTGATGTTCGACGAAGTTCCTGATTCAGGACAAACATGCGTCAAGTATACAGACTCTGGCATTTTTATAAGAGTAATGTGCTGTTCCCGGATTTTTCGTCGACGACCGTCTTCCATCTTTAGCGTTTCATCCTTCCTTTCATCAAAAAACAGGCCAGGTAATGATGAGTTTTGATTGGTTTCTAGTATACCTTCACGTTTCTTACCTCTAGCACGACGAATCTTGTTATCTATAATACTGCTTTTGTCTTCGTTAATAATACCAATATCCTGTAGAACGGCTGAAGCTACTGCAGCACCAGCTTGATTAGAAATACCATAACGATCAAGTGTTCTCGCAAGCACGGGTATTTGTAATGAATTACGTTGAATTTGTAAACATCCTTAAGGTACGGTAGAAACCTGTTGAGAAGTACTGGGTTCTTGCTGGGATCTTTCCACTCTCTGTGTATCTTTTTTCACTTGTAACCCAGATTTCTCATTCTCATCTAATTCGCTTCTTGTGTTCAATAATTCGTTTCTTTCAATTCGCTTCTGGTTTATTTTAGTTGTTTTTACATCCATTGAACTAATCAACATTTTTCTTTATCGCAGACACATATTTTGAAGTCTGAACATTTACATGCAGCCACATCAAATAAAACTTTGGATTTTATTCTGAAATCCTGTAACTGCTTTTGATAGCTTATGCTTTTATTTCGTTGTTTATAAAGTTTTAATAAATTCCTTATTTTAAGACGATAGCTTGTTATACGTTTAATAATAGTACACTGAAGTGGGAATCGAAGCTTGATCCCAAATTTCAACAATTTTTTTGGCAACAACTTTAGTTACTTCAGTCGCGGTTTGCTGTGGATTTGTTGATAGAGTCTTTAGTTCATATTCTACCCAGTTGAAATACCTGTTTATATCTTCATACTTCGGCAGAACATTTTTCACTAATATAGAGTAAGATCCCAGAGCGATAAGACATAACTTATTTTTTAAAAGATGAAACTTTAAGTTCTCAGTAGTGTCTTATGTACTTTGTATACCTGCGTGTTTGTGAAGTTTGCCCAGTGACACCTGGGCAGATACCAGGTGAGAAAGGTGACTAAAAATAAGAGTTACTTAACTTAAATTTATATGGCTGATTTTTATATATAGTTAATAGAATATCATTCTCAAGTAGTATCGCAAGTATCAGGCACTTTCCATGGACCAAAACTTTTGTCAGGCACTTTAAAGCTCCACCAAAAATAAATGAACTTCACTTATTTTTTAATGTCTGATTTTTGAATATGTTATCGAGATAACTATTACAAAATTATATTTAATCAGTCAGACAAATTGGAATGATCAAAAATCCCCTAAACACAAAAATTATTCGGCCGTGAGTACGAGCGCGAGAGCACTATGCGCATGCGTGTCAAAGCGAAGAATTTAAATATTCCAAAAAGTACTTACTGCTTTGAATAAAATATTTTTGCATCTCTATTTTAATAAAACGAATTTTAACATTAAGGTAATAATTAATAATTATTAAAGTAAAACAATTTATTGCATATATTCAGTAAATTAATTTTTTTCGGAGTAAACTGTGTTTTATAAAAAATTATTTTTATTTTTTTTTACCAAAGAACAGTTTTTACATTTTTAAGAAAAAATAATTTACGTAAAATAGAAAATAACTATAGTTAGTAAGTAAAAGTATTTAATTGTCCTTAATCATCGTTATCATCATCAAAATAATCATTAGAATTTTCATTATTGAGCCAGTCATATTGTCCATTCGAGTCATCATTCTCATCGTCATCATTTATGTTGTTGTCGTTGCTGTCAGCTTCTTCTGTAAAAAACAAATAAAAGAATTACAAAACATAAAACTACAAATATGAAACAAAAAATAAATTGTAAACCTAAAGTTAAAGTACAGTACCTGGATCTTGAAGTGCTTCACTGACGTCTCCTGGTAATTGGTCACCATCAAACCAATGAAAGTGATACTGGTTTTCTTCTAACGTCCAGCCATTATTTTCAGGAGTAAAGATGGTTGGTTGTTTCTCATTTGCATTATTTCATATGCTAGCAATGTAATTAGCTCACAACTGACACGATGTAAACAACAAGAACATGTGCTCTCAGAGATCCGAACTATACTAATGTACAGAGACAACTAGAGACGGGCAACTCAATGTAAATAATTGGTTCGGCAAAATTTGACTGGGCGATTCTATAAAAGGCACCAACCGAGGGCGCTGTGCACGGCGCTCACAGAACCGGAAATTCAGATCGCATAGATCTTCTTTTTAATTGTACTTCTTCTTTTTAAATGGTCTCTTCTTGCGTTAGTAACTATATTAATCTGATAAACATTGGGATAGGTCATGGATAAGCGGGAATTTTAAATGAAAACAATGTTTCTACTTAAGTTGACAGCATATTATGGAAAATTTATTATTAGTTTTAGGAAAAAAATTATAGGGCTTGTCAGAAATTATGAATTTTTCTTAAGCCTGAGGGAATTTTACATTACAACAAATTAATATTTACTTTTTTTCCTAACACTAATAAAATAATTTTCCATATGCTGCCAACTTAAGTAGACACTGTAAATATGTATTATTTTTTCGAAGTTTAATTCTTTTATATATTTTTTTTTTTGAAAAGTTTATAAGCAACAAAACGCTAACCATAAATTTATGTAGTGTTTTTTTCTTTTTATGTCATTAAGGAAAATGTTTAATAAATAAAATTGTAGTATACCATCGTTTTTATATTTTTATTCATGATAATAATTAAAAATATCGATATTAAATACCTATATTATAAACAACAGAACTAAACAAACAAAAACCAACCTTAAATTGCAATGACATAAATACATAAAAAAAGACAATAATTGGCAAACATGAAACATGGGATTAATTTAAACAACCATAAAATACCATAGATATATGAATTTAAAAAAAGAAAAGTAATAACTTAATAATAATAAATATTAATTAAAAAATAAAATAATGAAATAAACGAATCGAAAAATAAAACCCACTGAAGAAGGCTGTTCTATCATGGGCCGAAAGCTATATTATAAATTAAATATGTAAAAATTTTTTAATTTTTTTTGATTGTGTAATTTTTTTGTGACCTAATTTCCCTCATTTTTCTTTTACACCACCAAGGAATGCCTATTTTCCACACTGCTTTAAAAAAAGATCTCATAAGAAAATGTTTATGAGTGGTACATGTTACCCATTCAAAATCTATTTTTTCTTCAAATAGCTTTTCTATTTCCTTACTTAAATTTAAAATGTTAAGTAGGAGACTCAAGAAAATCTTCCAATAAGCTTATAGCTGTTCCAACCGAAACTACTGGTTGTTCTGCAGGGTAAATGAGTCTTTCTTGGTAACGTTTACAGTTATCTGGCAGTTCATAAATTTCATTGGTAATACAACCGATTTTAATTTCCAGTTTCCAATATAATCTGTTCTAGCAAAGTGTTTACTGCAGATTCTGAAATTTCGCAGATTCAATAAAATTGCTGAAATAATTTAATAATCAACTTACTTATATCTTTGCTCAACAAATCTGTAACATTTCCAGTTGTCTGGCAGTCCATAAATTTCATTGGTAATACATCCGGTTTTAATTTCCAGTTTCCAATATAATCTGTTCTAGCAAAGTGTTTACTGCAGATTCTGAAATTTCGCATTTCTGTTCGAAATATGGAATACCCAGGGCATCAAACCATAATTTGCATCTAAACAATAATATTTTATATTAGATTCTACAAATAAATACCAAGATATTAAAATTTTAAATTTTTATTATTGAAGGATATACCTACTCGAAATCCCCATAACAATAAAAAATATAATTGGAAAGAATACAATACTTTGCAAATGTTATTTTAAAAACAAACACACCAACACTTAAGTCAATCAAGTGGGAAGTATTGAGTAGGTACTTTTTTTATATAAACCAACAATAATACTCATTAGGAATTAATGAAAGATTTACCCCTAATATCCAAATTTAATGAATTTGCATTTTTGTTAAGAGAACTAAATAGGTACTTAGGTCATAATAATTGGTTCTGTGAAATGGAATGAATAAATAATTTTCACGAATCTTACTGGTTCTCTAAATTGCATGGATTCTAAAAGTTCAAAACAATGAATAACTCCTTTACTTTATGCAAAAATAATAAATTGAGTGTACCCCTTCGAAAATTTTTAGGCATTTAAGATGCATAGTTTAATAAAACATTAAAATCAGAGTTGCCATTACTAAACCTAATCTAAGAAATTTGTCTTGAACAGATTCTAATGACCTAACACGTACATCATAAAAAGGAGACCTAACTGGCAACTCAACTCATATTCCAATATTGTCATAACATAAGCCGAGTAAACCAGTTTTATTTGAATTAAATGATAGATTGTACTTACTTTGTAGAATTACAAGGAAAGTAATGCATTTTAGACACCTCATCTTCACTGCATCCACAAATTAAACAAAATGCCGGCATTGCTATTTAATCAAAAAAAGTCTAAACTATTTTAGCTTTAGTAATATAATAAGCTCTTGAAAATGCAAACAAAATACGTTACAAACACTACACACACTACAATATAAAAAGCCACAATATAAAATAAACAAAATTTTTTTCCAAAACATAACCTCTAACGAAAAGCTAGGCTAGAAATAACGACTTTTGACAAGATATATACATGACAGAACGACAGAACATAAAGAGAAGGGGGCTATGGTGGCGACATCTCACCATTGCCTTGAGTGATTTGTAAAAGAGATAGTCATATCCACAAATATTAAGAGAAAGAGAGAAAACGATATACACTGCATGAGCGATCCACAGAACCGATTTTTATATGAAGTTACACGTCTCGTAGTTGTCTCTGTAATGTATACTATACGTTGCGCGCACATACACAGTAGACTGAAACAGAATATGAGTTAAAGAAGGAGAACCGGGTTACTATGGACGTCTTACTCGCTCTGAAACGCATGATGCTCTCGCGCTCATACTCACGGCCGAATTTTTGTGTTTAGGGGATTTTTGGTCATTCCAATTTGTCTGACTGATTAAATATAATTTTGTAATAGTTATCTCGATAACATATTCAAAAATCAGACATTAAAAAATAAGTGAAGTTCATTTATTTTTGGTGGAGCTTTAAAGCGTCTGACAAAAGTTTTGGTCCATGGAAAATGTCTGATACTTGCGATACTACTTAAAAATGATATTCTATTAAATATATATAAAAATCAGCCATATAAATGTAAGTTAAGTAACTCTTATTTTTAGTCACCTTTCTCAACTGGTACCTGCCCAGGTGTCACTGGGCAAACTTCACAAAGACGCAGGTATACAAAGTACATGAGACACTACTGAGAACTTAAAGTTTCATCTTTTAGAAAATAAGTTATGTCTTATCGCTCTGGGATCTTGGACTAAAACATTTGGGAGTTTCAAAAATAGAACATTCTATTTCACTTCGCGTTTTACACATTTTATTTAAACTCACTCACACGTCGCACGGTCAACAAAAAGCAACTGATA